GAAGAAGAAGAAGAAGAAGAAGAAGAAGAAGAAGAAGAAGAAGAAGAAGAAGAAGAAGAAGAAGAAGAAGAAGCCATCTTTAACGAATCCAAAAAGCTGATTAAGAAAGGAAGGAGAAAGAGAAGAATGAAAAAGGACTTAAGACCTAAAAAAACATCTAAGAAAGAGAAAAATAAGATGCAAAATCAATACAATGTTAGAAAACAAAAGAAAAGAGAAATGCAACAGAGAGGGGAAGCTAAAAAGGAGGAGGTTAGAAGAAGGGGTGGGGGGTAAAAAGACTGGGTGGGATAAGAAAGGAGGGGAAAAGGGGGGGAAAAGCCACAAAGGGAAAAAGAAATTTTTTTTTAGGGATGAAGGGTAATGTATAACTTTTTTAAAAAAAAGGATTCTGCAAGGTACATAAGATAGTATTGTAGTATTTGTATTAGAAATAGAAAATTAGAATTTTATAAGATTTAAGTAAAGACTAAAATATTAAAGGTTTAATAATGATAGATTTTAAGATGTAATAAAAGATTAAAAGGAATGTTTAAGTATAGAGTTGAATTGACTATTGTGTGGATGTTAGTATAAACTTATTATTGCAGCATTTGTCTCTGAAATAGATAATTGGAATGTTATAGGATTTAATGATTAATTATGTATTTAACTATTTTATAGATTTACTATTTTCTTTTCTTTTTAAAATTAGCAGGTAGAATGTACTAAGCAGAATCAGATGGGGAACTGGGTGTTACCATAAATGTTAATTTAGGGGTGCGATGGAAAGGCATCATACTTCGATTAGTGATTTCAGGAGAAATATTTTTTTTTCTTTTACTATAGGGAATGAGATAAATGGATAATTGGAAATGAATGGACAAAAGATACAAATATAATGATTTAAATTAAGATGAAATAAATAAAATAGAATTAAGAAGAGTGGAAAGCGGGCAGAAGTTATAATGAAGATATAGAATGGTAAATAAGATAGGTAAGGCTATATAAGATGAGCATAAATTTAATTGAAGTCCATATAAAGAGAGGCAACTTTCAAAAAAGAAGTTTTATGTTTTTGTGTTTTGTGTGTCTATATTTGTTTGAGATTTAATAAAACTCTGGAGGAAAGCTAGAGGAGAATAACTGTAAACAAGACAGAGGGAAATATGAATATGATGATGATAAAATGGATAAATATAGTAAAGAAATGTAATTCAATAAGAGTAAAGAGAAACAATGAGAAATTTGCTAAAAGATATTTAAGTGGAAATGGGATATACTAGAATTATGTTGTATAAAGCAATGTTTTATCTGCCTTGTAAAAATTTACAATGGAAAGAGGTTTTATGTGTTTAATGTTTAATGATGTTTTGTTTGTCTTTAAAATTAATAAAATTTGTTTCAAAAAACAACAACAATGAATTCAGAAAGACTTCTTTGCTTGACTTGATCTATTTCGCAGACCTACATCATGATTTTCAGTTATATATAGGCCAAAATCATGTATATCTTGGGTTGTGGGATGAGGTAACTATTGGTTAAATTTATATGCTGCCCATCTTGTTAAAATGACTCTGGATGGTTATGTACCAGCTAGCTGGTAGAGATAGTCTTGGATGTATGACCACAATTGAGCCCAGAATTTCTGTTGCTCAGGGAGACAGTTGTTAAATGATTCCCCCTTCCCCATTTTACAACTTTTCCAGCCAGTTTTTATTTTATTATTTAACCCCATTGATTTTGGTGGTCAGAAGATTTGAAAAAATGATCACATGAACCGGGAAACTGTAACTATCATAAATACATGCTAGTATTTATGGCATGTACTTTGATCATGTGACCATGGGAATGCTGTACTGATCATACATGGGAAAAATGGTTATAAGTCACTTTTTTCAGTGCTTCTTTAACTTCAAATGGTTGTATCTTGAGAACTACCTGTAGTATGTCTCTCTTCACTTTCTCTAAAATGTGCTAAATCAGCCTGATTGTGTTTGAGGCTCTCCTGTTTCTTCTACTGGGTGAGGTCAACACCCCAGTTCCATAGCATTACCACTTAATCCCATTACAGGAATGAAATCATAATTGTTTCCACATACCGGGAATTACTGAATCAAAGATGGAGAGCAGCTGGATTTTGATGGTGAAGGGTTGTTTATGCATGTTGCTGAAGTTAGGGATGAAATAGTATTTCATAACGAAATTCACAAAGTATATACACGCCAGGAACTGTGGGACAGAGAGAAAAAAAACGTGACCTTAGTGATCTATTGGCATCTCAGTGTTCGGACAAGGCATACCAGTTGCCACCTCTCGGCTATGACTAAGAAAAACCTTCTTCTGGTCTACGATCTCAGAAGCTGGATTTGGCTGCCATTTTAATATCCTACAGTACAATGCCCAAATGCTGTCCTCCAACACCAGCCCTTCTTCAGTTTAGTTTTAGTCAATCTGTCACAGATTTCTGCACTACTCACTTCCATCAACTCTGCTCTCTTTCAAACCCCTTTTTCCTTTTGTTTTCCTATGGGATATATTTGAAAATATGTGTTAGGAATATAAGTCACCTAACAGCTATTTGGGTTGGAAATATATAAACCAGGATAGACATTTTAATACTGTATCTTTAAGAAAATGCAAAAGTGTAATTGAGTGTGGTTTCTCAAACGGCCATAAGATGGAGCCAGAAACCTGGGTTGTCTTAGTCTTAGTTTCAGAAGAAGTCTCAGTGAGTCTCTGTTTCCTTCTGTTGGAGAATATTGCCATTCCTGTATTGACTGTTGTTCTTGGATTTGATGTAAGTCTGATACTGAACTATTTTTGACACTGGACTTTGTTATTTGGATTATCCCTGGACTGAACAGTGACTGCCTTACCTATGAATGACTTTGGACTGCTTATTTTGAACTTTGCTTAAACGTTTCTGGAAATAAAAACCGACATTTACTGTACAGTGTATCTATGTGCTGTGTGTGTATTATTCAAACACTTCTCTCAAATACGTCTCCCTGTATGCACTCATTCTCCTAATGGGGAATTACCTCAACACTGGTTATGGGCCCAGGCCATACCAGGCCCAGATAACTGAGAGTTAGTGTGAATACACAGTACTGTACACAGACAGCTGTTTACTGTTTAATTGTGGGTTACTATCCTGGTAAAGATGGCACAAGTCACTTCAACAAGTCTATCACTGATAACCCGGTTGGATGGAACAAACTATGTTTCCTGGTCTATGAAGTGCAGTCTACTTTTGCGTAAAGAAGGTTTATGGAATGTAGTTCAAGGCCCACCGGATGTAAATGCTTGGGATCCAAATAATGAGGATGATGCCAAGAAGCTTGCTGACTTTAAACAGAACAACGAACAAGCTCTTTGTATAATTGGACTAACACTGAGTGACCAGCAGCTAGTCCATATTCGTAGAGAAGAGTCTGCTGCTAGGTGTTGGGAGAATTTGAAGAGGATTTATGTTCATGACAGTGTAGGTGCACACATATATCTTACACGTAAAGTGTTCAGAGCACGTCTTCTGAAAGATGGAGATATGTTAGCTCATTTAAATGTCATGAAAAGAACTTTTCAAGAGCTACATGAAAAGGAACTGATATTTTCAGAGCTGCATCAAGTTTACATCATTCTTTCCTTGTTGGATGAAAGTTATGATGATTATGTGCCTTCACTGGAAGTCCTGACCAGAGATGAACTGACATTGACTGACATAACTGGAAGATTGTTAGAAGAAGCAAGAAGATGGCTGGATAGGGACCAACTGAGGAAGGAACAACCACAAGAAGAGAATTTGTCTTCAACTGCCTATACTGTTAGGAAATGTTTTTCTTGTGGGGCTAGAGGACATATAGTTAGATTCTGTAAGAAGGGAAAACAACAGAATACTGGTAAATACCAGAAGGCCATGAAGAATATTAGTTTAGCTATGTCTAGCAATTCAACTGTAAACCATGATTTATGGGTTGTTGATAGTGGAGCATCGCAATGCATTACTAAAAATAAGGAAAGGTTTGTAAAGATGTCCACAACATATATCATTGGCAAATGGATGGAAGATTAACGCATCAGGTGAAGGTACTGCATATTGTTCTTGTATAAACGAACATTTAATTATGTTACATGTACCTAAACTGAAATTTAATTTGTTATCAGTAAGGGCTTTAGTTAATATTGGTTATGTAGTAACCTTTAGGGGAGATAACTGTATAATAGAGAAAGAGGGTAAAAGTGGTACTGCTAATTTAGAGAATGATTTATATGTAATACATGATGACCAATTGAAGATGGCTAACTCAGTTTATAACAATGTTAAGCCACATGATGAATGTATACATTTACTACATAGATATCTAGGGCACGTCAATTTCAAAATGCTCAAACAAACTGTTGAATTGTCAGAGGGGGTAAAATTGAAACCCTGTAGCAAGTATTTAAACTGTAATGCTTGTAGCCAATAGAAGAGTAAGGTTACTCCAGCAAACAGACTAAATGGGTTTAAGACCAAAGAACCTTTAGAGTTTGTTTTGGCTGACATAATTGGTCTTAAGAAACCAAGTTTAGGAGGTGCCTGCTATATTTTGAGTATAATGGACCATTACTCATGATACTGTTTCTGCTATCTTATGAAAAACAAAACAGAAACATTCCAACATTTCTTTAACTGGCTTAGGTTTGCAGAGAGAAAAATAAAAAGTAAAGTAATTACTTTAGTTACTGATAACGGGACTGAGTTTGTTAACAAAAGATTCCAAACTATGTTGAAATTGGCTGGTGTTGAGCATAAACATTCTGCACCTTACAGACCACAACATAACTCGTTTGTAGAACGAAGAGGGCAAACATTACAAGCCATGGCTTGCACTATGTTATCTGATTCAGGTTTGCCTGAAACACTGTGGGGTGAGGCCATAATGTGTAGCAATCATGTTTTAAACATGATTAAACAATGTAGTTAACACAACAACTGGAGAATTGCCATTCGCTTGTTGGCATGGCAGAAAACCAAATTTAAATTACCTACACACATTTGGAGCTCCAGCATGGGTGCATATTCCCTTACAAGTAAGACTAAAAGGGCAACATAGAGCTAAGAAGTTATTTTTTGTGGATTATGAGGCCAACCATAGATCGTTTAGATTCTGGGATCAAGGAACAGCTCATGTTTATTGTAGTGCTAGTGCAAAATTTCTCGAGCACATTGGGTGGGATAAACTGGAACAGGAATCCAGCAATGATGTTATTATTGACACCCAAATAGTCCCTAAAGATAAAATCAGTAAACCACTAATAGCCATTAAAGAGGAAGAACAGGAAGAAGTAGGAGAACAGGCACAGGAAGAAGTAGAAGAACAGGAGCAGGTGGCACAGGAAAGTCCACCAGTAAGCCCTGTATTACTAAGATGTTCAACCCGAGTAACATGACCACCTGATAGATATCAGGCTAGTGTTGTATGCCAAGTGAATACAGTTCCAAGTAATTATAGTGAAATAAAACTGTATCCTGCTAAGGATCAGGCTGCTTGGCAGAAAAGCAATGGATAAGGAACTGGAATCATTAAAAAGACTGGAGGTATACGAAAATGTTAAGTTACCACCAGGTAAACATGCCATAGGATGTAAATGGATATATAAGCTTAAGACAGGTGTAGATGGGACTGTTACCCATAAAGCCAGGTTAGTAGCACAAGGGTTCAATCAGACTGCAAATGACTATGAAAGTCTGAAGGCTACTACATTAAGGGCGGCATTAGTGTGGGCAGCTAAAGAGAAATATATTATAAATCATTTGGATGTAGAGACGGCATATCTGCATGCACCGTTGCAGTACACTATATATTTAAAGAAACCTTTAGGTCTCAAAAATGATAATACTGATAATAATGATTGCTGGAGATTGAAAAAGAGTCTTTATGGCTTAAAGCAATCAGGATATGAGTGGAACCAATGTATAGTTAAAGAATTAACTAAGATAGGTTTTGTGGCTGGCATGGCTGATCCATGTTTGTTCAAAAGAGAAAGTAATGGTGTAATTTCATTATTGCTATTATTTACTGATGACATAGCATTAATCACCAAAACTGAACAAGAAGCTACTAAAATAATCTCACTGTTAGAGAGGAAATTTAAGATAAAACAGGAGAAATCAAACAATATCTTGGTTTAAAGATAGATAGAACTAGGGGAGGATACAAGATCTCACAAGCAGATAAAATTAACCAATTACTAAAAAGTTTTAAAATGGAACTTTGTAAGCCGGCTAAAACACCAATGAGCCAGGAGTTTAGCCATAGTGATGTTCAAAGTCCTATTTTTGATAAGAACATTTATCAGTCTTTGATTGGTAGTTTATCTTATCTCAGTAATTGGTCAAGACCAGATATTGCATACAGTGTTAATCAATTAGCGAGATTTAACACTGAGCCAACTGAAAGGCACTGGCAAGCTGCTAAACGTGTGTTAAGCCAGTGATCCCCAACCTTTTTGATGCCGCGGCCCGGTACCGGCATCAGCTGGGCGCCGCGGCCTGGTACCGGCATCAACTGGGCGCCATCTTTTTTTGACGAAAAAGTGCTTCCGGTGACCTCACCGGAAGCACTTTTTCATCAAAAAAAGATGGCGGCGCCCAGCAACCAGCGGCCCGGTAAGACTTGTTCTGCGGACCGGTGGTTGGGGACCCCTGTGTTAAGCTATCTGAAACAAACAATGCACTATGCATTCTATTTGGAGCCTAAAGATGAACTGAGTTTAACTGCATATGCTGATGCAAGTTTTGCTACAGACATAAATACATGAAAATCTACATTGGGTACTGTAGTATTATTGGGAAAGGCATTGATTGGATGGAGGTCTATTCGACAGAAATATCTAAGTTTGTCAACAATGGAGGCTGAATTCTCATGCTTGTCTTTACTATGTACAGATTTAGTTTTGTATAAGCAATTACTAATTGACATTGGAATTGATGTAACAGATTCTATTGTTGTTTATGAAGATAACCAATCAGCAATACAGATGGCTTCAAATATTGCTGTTAAAACAAGAATGAAACACACAGATTTAAGATATTTAAATGTGAGACAATGTGGGCAAAGTAAGATGATTAAGCTAGAATACTGTATGTCAGAAAACAATATAGCAGATCATTTTACAAAGACCCAAGGCTCTATAAAGCATAAGGCTTGCTGCGAGGATTATGGACTTAGAATGTAAGGTTGTATATATTGTCCTACCCCAAAAGGGAGAATGTTAGGAATATAAGTTACCTAACAGCTATTTGGGTTGGAAATATATAAACCAGGATAGACGTTTTAATACTGTATCTTTAAGAAAATGCAAAAGTATAATTGGGTGTGGTTTCTCAAACGGCCATAAGATGGAGCCAGAAACCTGGGTTGTCTTAGTCTTAGTTTCAGAAGAAGTCTCAGTGAGTCTCTGTTTCCTTCTGTTGGAGAATATTGCCGTTCCTGTATTGACTGTTATTCTTGGATTTGATGTAAGTCTGATACTGAACTGTTTTTGACACTGGGTTTGTTATTTGGATTATCCCTGGACTGAAAACTGACTGATCTTACCTGTGAATGACTTTGGACTGCTTATTTTGAACTTTGCTTAAACTTTCTGGAAGTAAAAACCTACATTTACTGTGCAGTGTATCTGTGTACTGTGTGTGTATTATTCAAACACTACTCTCAAATACGTCTCCCTGTATGCGCTCATTCTCTTAAAGGGGAATTACCTCAACACTATGTACTTGTATCTAAAGTTTTAAATTGAACATTTCTTAGGGAAGTGACCTATTTTGTATCAAAGATGACTCAGGACAAATGTTATATCTCATTCACTCAAGGCTAGAGAACTCTAGGAAACTTAAATGGTGGCCTTTGGTCACTCAGGGCTACTTAAATAATTATTGCTATTTACTACCTTGGCCAGCTAAGACACCTTAGGATTCCAGTCCATCTAAGTCTTGTGGGAAAATCCAACAGTCCCAAGCCCATTTCTAATCCAGAGAGGCCTGATAAAACCAACCAGCCAATGGAAACTTAATGTGTTTCTCTCACCTCAACCAGTTTTTGGATGACGTAACTCCAGCGGATGTATGGATCTCTATAAGGAAAGAAGTAGGGATAAGGTTGAGATAGGATGAGAGCAGTTCTCTTTTCTGGGGAAATACAATGGTTACTACATCGTTCTGGGGCTCATGGGTCGTAGCTCCTGAAGCCCATTTCGCCCATTCTTTTTCTCATAGAGCTGAGAAACCAGGGAGCCCCAAAAGACAAGGACAATATGCAAGCAGTTACCTTGGATAGCTCTTTCTGTAGATCAAAGTAGGGCAGAAGAGAAAATATAAGTAGGTTGAGAATTCAGGAGGGCTTATCTTCCCTGGAATGGGGGAAAAAAGCAAAGGAATGGTTGAAGGTACATAGGGTCAAGTAGAGAAACATCAGTTTGTATGCTGAAGAAATAGTTGCCCTGGACACACATGATGCTCAAGCGTAGGCATATTCTCTCTGCATACCATTTCAGCAGGAAAAACACAGAGCTTCATGTGTATGTAATGATAGCAGTAGCAACAGTACTTAGACTTATATACCACTTCATAATGCTTTACAGCCCCCTCTAAACGGTTTACAGAGTCAGCATATTGTCCCCAACAATCTGGGTCCTCATTTTACCGACCTCAGCAGGATGGAAAGCTGAGTCAATTTTGAGCCAGTGAGAAGCGAACTTCTAATATTTGGCACAATTAGCCTGCAATACTGCATTGTAACCACAAGGAGAAATTTATTTATTTATTTATTTATTTATTTGATTTGCCAATTGTTTACAAGATAATAAGTATAAATGTATACATAGTTGTGAATACATGAAATGGTTACATATAAGAAAAATAAAAGAATAAGAGAAACAATAGGACAGGGACGGTAGGCACGTTGGTGCGCTTATGCACGCCCCCTACAGACCTCTTAGGAAAGGGGTGAGGTCAATAGTAGACAGTCTAAGGTTAAAGTTTTTGGGGTTTGGGGAAGAAACTACAGAGTCGGGTAGAGTATTCCAGACATTGACCACTCTATTGCTGAAGTCGTATTTCCTGCAATCAAGTTTGGTGTGGTTTACTTTGAGTTTGTATCTATTGTGTGCTCTTGTGTTGTTATGGTTGAAGCTGAAGTATTCATTGACAGGTAGGACATTGCAATGTATGATTTTGTATACCATGCTTAAGTCAGACCGAAGACGGCGTAATTCAAGGTTTTCTAGTTCTAGAATTTCAAGTCTGGTGGCATAAGGTATTCTACAGCGAGTAGAGGAGTGGAGAACTCTTCTTGTGAAATATTTCTGGACTTTCTCAATTGTGCTAATATCAGATACGTAGTGTGGGTTCCAGACTGATGAACTGTATTCGAGTATTGGTCTAGCAAATGTTTTGTATGCTCTGGTTAGTAGTGTGATATTACCAGAGAAAAAGCTACGTAGGATTAGGTTAACAACTCTTAATGCCTTTTTGGCTATGTAGTTGCAGTGTGCTCTAGCACTTAGATCATTAGAGGTGAGTATTCCAAGGTCCTTTACAGAGCTTGGGTCATCAACAAGATCTTGACTATTCAGCTTGTATTTTATTTTCTGATTTTTTTTGCCAATATGTAAGACAGAGCATTTATTTGTTGAGATTTGAAGTTGCCATTTGTTTGACCATTCGGATACATAGTCAAGATCTTTTTGTAGGGTAGCAGTATTGTCTGTGGTATTGAACAGCTTTACATCATCAGCGAAGAGAACGCAATTGCTCTTAATATGATCACAGAGGTCGTTTATGTAGAGTATGAAGAGAGTTGGTCCTAGAACACTGCCTTGGGGAACACCACTATTGACAGGTACTGGATTTGATAGGACGCTCCCGATTTTGACCATTTGTTGTCTGTTTGACAGGAATGCTTCTATCCAGTTATTCAGTTGTCCAGAGATACCATAGGATTTTATTTTTAGGAGTAGTTTGTCGTGTACCACTGAATCAAAGGCTTTACAGAAGTCTATGTAGATTGCGTCTATTGTTTTGCCCTGGTCGAGTTGTGTCGTCCATATGTTTTTGCAGTGTAAGAGTTGCAGATTACAGGATAGTTTTTTCCTGAAACCAAATTGTTTATTGGAGAGTAGGTTATTTGTCTCTAAGTGAAGGATGATGGATTGGTTAATAATTGATTCCATGACTTTACAGGTGACGCAGCATAAGGAGATTGGCCTGTAGTTTTCAACTAGGCTTGGGTCTCCCTTTTTGAAGATGGGGATGACTGTGGCTTGTGACCATAGGTTAGGCAAGGAGCTGGTTCTGAAAGATTTTTCAAAGATTATGCTTAGAGGTTTGGCTATGGCAGTGGATAGCTTTCTTAAGAAGTAGGCACATATTCCATCCGGTCCAATAGATAGAGATGGTTTGAGGTTGCGTATTGCTTTTTCAACATTGTCTTCTGTGAAATCAATATGTATTAGATCATTGTTGTTATCTGTGGTACGGCTAGGAAATATTGGGCATGATCCATTGCTGTTTACAAATACTGAGCCGAAGAATGTGTTAAAGATGTTGGCTTTAATGGTGTCGTCGTTGCAGTCTTTACCATCAGGTCCTATCAAGGGAGGGATGGACCTTGAGTCTTTTAGTTTGTTGTTTACAAAATTGTAAAAAGCGCGGGTGGAATTGGTGCTTAGAAGGTTTTCCTCTTGTTTAATGTGATAATTGGTGCATTCGGTCTTTATCTGGTGGCATAGATTTTTGTATCGGTTTTTGAAATTGGCAACGTGACCAGATTTGTTTTTCCACCAGAGTGATCTCTTTTTGGATTGAAGTTTCCTTATTGATATGGGTAATCTGCTTTGTGATTTGGTGAAGGATTTGCTGAAATGTACTTGACCCAGGCAAGAGGTTTCCTTTGCTTTGCATCCATATCCCTTTTCTTAGTATTTTGCTATACTTAAATTCTACTTACAACATCTACGCAATCACTAACAGGCAAATGGAAAGTCTAATCCAATAGTTCCATAGGTTGAGAAAGTGTGTAATACAGTGGTGGGATTCAAAAACTTTTACTACCAGTTCTGTGGGCATGGCTTGGTGGGCGTGGCCATGTGACTGGTGGGTGTGGCTTTTTTCTTGCAGCCCCCACCCGATTTTGGGAACTTCTTAGCCACAGAGAAGCCTCTGGGGGGGCGTTTTTTCTCCCCTAAGACTCCTCTGGGGCTCTGGAAGGAAAAGAATGGAGGGGGGGGGGCTGAGCTCCTCCCTCCATTTTTTGCCTTCCTGGGCCTCAGCAAGGGAATCCTGGCACAGCTGATCTTATCTACAGCTGATTATCGGGAGGGAAAAAAAAGAAAGAAATACCTTAGGCGAATGTCAGGCAGGCAGGCAGGGTGAGCGAGCATCGGGTGGGAGGGCAACCGGGTGAGGGGCATGGCCAGCCAGAACTTACTACCGGTTCGGCGACCCACTCCAAATTCTTGCTACCGGTTCACCCGATCCATTGCGAACCGGCTGAATACCACCACTGGTGTAATAGTAATTAGCATGCCAGTGGTTGGATTACTACCTTATGCTACAACTAGGATGCTGGTGGAAAATCAGTTTGGAGACTATGTGGGCGACTTACAGCCATTGTAATCACCATTAAGTTCCTCCAAGTCAAACTCACCAACTTGGTCCCTGGCATGGAGAAGAGGAGGCATCGATTCTCTCAGAAATGAATAGCTTTTCATCAGGAACCGAATCTATGCCAGAGAGGGAAATGAGCAAGGAAACATTGTGAGGTTGAGTGATGTTATAGATATTCTTGCAGAGGACTTCAGTATTCTGCTATGCCACCTACCTGGCCTTTGGTGTGATGACCTGGAGTGTACCACAAATATAACAAAAACATAAATAAAGGTCCTTTAATGCCTTCAACTTGGCTTCACTGTTCAATTGTTCACAGTTGAAGATTAAACTATTTTCAAAATAACATTCCAAATGAAAGAAATACAGTTCAAAATCAAAGAGCAGATAACGAACCAAAAAGCAAAAACAAACCGCACTGAAGAAAGCTCCATGACAGACCAGGATAATTAATAACAAACGTCAAGAAGATAACCAGGTACAGTCTGTTGGAAGAACGCCAACCAAGATAAACCACATCCAGGAAAATCCACTCTTTGTTTTCAGCATTTACTAGCATGCAGGTCCAAACTCTTATGCAGATCTCACACCTGCAACCCATGAAGAGGCTCATGGCCCTCTCCTCCTGAGTAGACCACATTTTTCCCTGATCCTCTCCTCCCTGTGTGCCCTAGGATGGATAGGGGATTGGTCTGGGTCTGCCTTTGACTGTTCAGCCTGCCTCTGCCCTTCCCCAGCCTCCTTCACAACCTCTAGAGCCACACTTCCACTCCCTGTTGGCTGTTCCTCCTCTCCCTCAGAGTCAGTCTCCACCAGGGGCATGTCATTTGGTACCATCCTTGTGGATATTAAAAGAAAGTAATTACACTCATTAGTTAAGCAGGATGGGTGATCTAAGAAGTTTCCAATGCTCCCTATGGTAGATCCCATGGTGCTCCAGACACTGTCTATCTAGACTTCTCAGACAGAAGTGACCCTGCATACTTATTTGGCTAACTGTCAGTTATACTGCCTGATGATCGTTCTTCTCAACCTCTTGCTTGTATGAAATCTGCTTGTCTTCCAGCTTGCAAGAAGAACATATAATTGAGGCCATGGCAAGTGCCACGGTAAACATTTATACATGACATATACATGACGATGGCTGCTAAGCGTACTGTAGATCTTGTTCAGGGCAATGTATACTGAAATATATGTCTTTAACCTGGCCTACCCTTAATGACTGTATTTGGGGTTTTTCCAGACCATTCAGAGGACACCAGATAGGAGAAAGGTGCCTTAAACCTGGAGTGAGGTTGGTATGTCTTCTCTGTGCAATGGGAAATGAATGGCCTGTGTATGGAAGTATACTTTTATGCTACAGGGGGGCTTCCTAGCGCTTGCTGCTATCTGTACTTTCTACGCTGAGATGCCATGGGACAACTGGAATTCCTTCACAAATCCAGCCTCACTTCAAACTTCAACATTAGCAACCCCCATTTCTGTTTAAGAACTCTTTTCCCCTGTACCCACTTTCTTTGTGCCATACCTGCCATACCTGCTCAAAGTGCCATACCTGCTCATAGAGGACAATTTTTCGGGAGCCAATTCCCAAATTACAATAGACAACAATATAGACGGGGAAGAAGCCCAGCACTGCAGCGTGGCAGAGCAGCAGCACCACCACCAAGGAGACCGTCCAGAGATTGGGGAACCTGGTCATCTTCAAGCAGCCTGACCATATTTGCAGGGCCTGGTAGGGCAAAAATAAGGTGTAGAGGAACATGCAGAGCCAGGCAAAGAGTGCTGTGGGCAGCTGTCGAAAGCCAATGATAAAGAGCTCGAAATCCAAAACAAAACTGTGAAAGACAAAGAAGAAAAAGAGCTCTAAGGATGTTGCAAATTAAATAGGCACTTTCTTTGGGGCATCCCCAAGATTCAGTGGCATAATTGCTGAAAAATGAAGGGGATGGGTTCTGCTATTTTGAGGAGGTAAACTCATGAAAGTTCCTGTTAACTCTTCAAAATAGACAGAACAGAGTTAGAATGAAGGAAAACCCACCTCCAAGTGAAAACATTATGATGAGTCGCCCTCATTTCGTTCATAATCTTGTTTTGTTTCATAATCTTTATTTCATAACCTTCATAATTTCAACTATTGCTCATCCTTAAATATTGGACCCTCAAACAGGTTCCTCTTCGAATTTAAATGCATTAGAAATAGAAGACTGCGAGGTTTTTGAGGGGTCTGTCATATTAGGAACATTATTCAACATTCCTCTCAGAATAATGTCTAATTCTTTTTTAGTACATCCTCCTGAGCTTTAAGGGGAGTTTCCTGCAACAGTTGTGACAGTTGAAACCATTAAGCAGCAAGGCCCATTGTGACTATACGCTGTATACTTTATTTGATCTCTTATGCAGGGGTGGGATGCTACCGGTTCGGCTTTGTTCTATAGAACCTGTAGCTGTGAAGAGCAGCTGACACTGAACCGGTTCGATGTTTGGCACACCTGCCTGCCCGGGGTCTAGGCTGTCCTTTATTCCTTGCTTTTCCCTCCTCAGCTGCTTTGCATGACACAGCTGAGGTTGAAAAAGCAGGAAATGAGGATTTTCAAAGCGCAGCACTTGTCAGCTGTCCAGGAGGCACAGCTGATGATTTCCTGCAAACGCTGCACAAACAATAAAACTGGCAAATCGTTCCACTGGCTGGCTCCACCCCTCCCTGCCCACTCACTCCTTACCTGGCATGGGAGCCATCCAACATGCCTGGTTTGGTAAGTTGCTATTTTTTTTGACCTTCTGCTCTGCCAGGAGATTTAGATTAGGTAGAAAGTAGAAAATCCTTGGATTTCTTGCTTTCTAGCTAATCTAAAAGCAGAGCCAAACCTTCCTTAGGACTGAAGCTTTTCAGTGGAGACTCAGGTAGCCGATTGCAGATAGATAGATCTCTAAGTGAATCTGTGATTCTGTGAGCAACTCAATCTGCCTGCCTGCTTTGCCTGATTTTGGGTAAAAGTTGCTCTTTTTTAATCTAAAATTCAATATTTACATAAATATTTATAATATTTACATACAAGCCATTCCCATCCACTCACATGACCACCAAACCATGCCGTCAGAAAGCCATTCCCATCCACTCACATGACCACCAAGCCACATCCACAAATTAGGCCACACCCACATAACTGGTTGTTAAGAAATTTGAATCCCACCCCTATCTATATGGCTACATAACCAACCACTGTACCAATCTGTATGGCTATATAATAATCCTCTGCTACCATTTCTATAGAATAAAACAGAATTTCTAACAATGCTTCAGCTTCAACAGAATTGCAGATTATTTCAAGGGTTTGACTATCATGGACATTTCTTTCTCCTTCTTTTCCTTTGAGGAATTATTTCATTTGTAAGGCTTCCCAATTAAAAAACAGCTCATGGCAGCATACAACATTAAAAACAGATAACCACTACAATGAGCAGAATGGGCAAAAGGCTGGAATAATGCCAGAACCAGATTTTTCATAGGCAGATAGAAACTGGCTCAAAACTGGCTTCATGTTTTCCCATGAATGAAGGCAAATATATGTATCCCATGATAATGTTGGAGGATTCAATCAGGGTCAATTGCCAGGACAAGAGGTTTAATCTTCCCGGTTTCAGGCCTGTGCTAGAGCCCATCCTCAGGGAACTTCTCTCTCACCAGAATGTTTTTTTGTTTGTTTTTCAAGTCTTTCAAGGTGTGTCACTCCATTGGACTGAGCATATTGTTTTGTTTGTGTGCGTTCAGCATTGCCAATACTTTTTGCCCAATGGCATGTTTTTCTAGCTCTTGTATCTCTGATCTGTTAAATATAGAGTCTACTGCTGCTATAAATTCTCTTAGGGTGGCATCACTCTCTCATTCTGTTGAGAGAGAAGTTCCCTGAAGATGGGCTCCAGCATTTTGAAAGTGGAAAGTAGAAATTAACTCTTTCAGCCCCCCCAGCTCTCAGTAACACAGTAAGACTTACACTTGGTTGGAACTTTTAAAATATCTTAAAATACCCTTAATTAAAACTAATTGTTGAGATTGTCTACAACATCTGTACTTATATTTATCTATATATTGAAAATTATATTGGTTGATTTTCTTTCTTCTTTTTTCTCTTCTTTCTCTTTCTCTTTCTAGTGGTTTACTTTTTGTGATAAAAATATTTAAGTTCATATACTTATAGACTGATTAAAATTTAAAGAAGGATATATATTTATAGAACTAGGGATCATTTTTGTAGTATAAATTAAGGATATAATTGTTTTCACTGATTGAATATTAAGAAAAAGATAGATAACTATTTATTTATAATATTGACTGTTTTCCTACTTTAGAAAATTATTATTGATATTTAAGGTTTAGTTGAATATAGAACTGCAATTTTATATAATTATATTGACAGTCAGAGTGGAATAAATTAGGAAATTGATTGTATAAGTTAAATAACTAAGTAATCAACTAATTAAATATCCAACAAGTTAATATATTATAATTAACAGACAGAAATATATAAGAATATATAAGAATTAATATAAGTGTGAGAATTGTTAACTGTTAATATAAGTGTGGTTCCTGATATTGGGATTGACCTGTAAAACTGCATGGTTTAACTAATTTTTGAAATTTCTGGAATAATTAAAATATAGTACAAGATATAAGATTGTAGACTACACTGTAGAATAAAGATAGAGACAGAAATTAGGGGATCATTGAATGGTGGTGTGGGAGAAGATAGAGAAAATATTAGGAGAACAATATAGAATATTACAAGAAATGACAAGTATCATGACCACCACAGTGAAAGCTGGGAAGAAACAGACTTTAATGACAACTGCAGTGATAGCATCCCTGGCCTCATAAAGATCAATAGAAGGAATGTTTGCCACAGATAAACCAAACCCCACGATGAACATGCAGACTGTGCAGACTGCCTTAATAGCAATACAGGAAAGGATGACAAAGCTACAGGAAAATATGACTAAAAATCACGGAGAAATGAAAACAGAAATGTAAGAAGTGAAGAGAGAAGTGAGAAATGATACCCAGAAATTAGATGAGAAAGTGGGCCTGATCCAGGAAGCATTACAAAAACATGATCAAAGACTACAAATGATTAAGGAAAGACAAGAAAAAAACAGAACAAAAATTAGATATGGTGGACCAGAGAATGAAAGAACGGAATAGGAAAGTGGAAGACTCACTGATCCAGTTGGAGATGGACAGAGCCTCATTTTATCTGCAATTCCAGAACGTGGTGGAGACAAAAGAAGATTTGGCAGTAATAATGGCCAAAATAGTTGCAGAGGTTCTCCAAAGAGATAAAAGAGAGATAATTAATGAGTTGGATGAGGTCTATCGAATATATACAAATTACGCCAGACAAAATAGACTGCCAAAAGAAGTCCATGTACACTTTGCGTGAAAAAAGTGAGGGACATAATTTATAAAATAATTAGAGATGAACCAATGTCCTATAAAGGAAAAGAGATTATTACATTGAAACAAGTCCTGAAAAGAGTGCCTGAACAATGGAGAGAATATCGTTTCTTAGTGGCCTGACTTAATAAAAACAACATATTATTTAGATGGATAACACTGGAGGGAGTGTTAGAGTTGTGGCGGGGGAAGAAAATTAAGATAGACACTCTAGATAAAGCGCAAGATTTCCACAACCAACTGGTAGGCACAGAAGAAATGGGCAGGAGTAGAGAAGAATTGGAGCCTTAAAGTAAATTGGCAATTCATGATTCAACAGGTTAAGAAGATGAAATTTGGGGATAGATTTTGAAAAAATGATAGGTCAATATACTTGAACCAGAATGCCCATATAATGATTAATGGAGAAATCACAAATTCATTCGAGATAGGAAAAGGAATTAGACAGGGATGTCCACTTTCACCTCTGCTCTTTATCATGACATTAGAAATTCTGTTGAGAAGTATTAGATCGATTCGGGAGATAAAAGGATTAAAAATTAAGCAAGAAGAATACAAGGTTCAAGCCTTTGCAGATGATGTTGTATTCTTTGTAGAAGAACCAATAGAACCAGGACCAAATTTAATCAAAGAAATAGAGAAATATGGGGAAGTGACTGGCCTAAAAATTAACAAAGATAAAACTAAAATGATAACAAAAAACCTAACAGATAGTCAAAAAAAGGAATTAGAGGAAGTAATGGGCTTACAAATTGTTAAAAAAATCAAGTATTTAGGAATTTGGCTTACTTGCAAGATGCTCAATTATAAAAGAGGATAACTATATAAAGTTATCTATAAAAAGAGATTTAGACAAATGGGGGAAGATACAGTTATCAATGTTAGGGAAAATTGCGACTATTAAAATGAACATCTTACCAAGATTATTATTTCTTTTTCAAATGATTCCTGTAAAATTGGATAATTTTTTTTTTAGTGAATTAAACAAAATGACTATGAAATTTGTGTGGGCAGGAAAAAGACCGAGGATAAAGTTGAGTGCACTACAAGATAATATATGTAGAGGTGGATTTGGACTCCCTGCATGGGAACTATATTACAAAGCAGCAGCCTTAATGTGGATTAAAGATTGGGTTAATCTGAGGAACAGAAGAATATTAACCTTAGAAGGACATGATTTGCAGGTGGGGTGGCATGCCTTCATGTGGAACCCTGGAAATAAGACTTATACTCATTTTAATAGACACGCAATACGAAACTCATTATTGAGAATCTGGTGAGAAATCAAGCACAGACATTATATGAAAATTCCAGGGTGGGTATCCATCATGGAGGCATTGATACACCCCGATGCACTAGAAATTGGAAGTAGGAGTAAATATTATGATGTTTTAGATTCCAAAGGAATGTTAAAAACAAACCAAGAACTCCGGGACCAAGGGATACAGATGGATTGGTGGCCATATTTACAACTTAAAACAAGGTATAAAAAAGATGCAGAGCAAAAAGTATTGGGAAAAAATACGAATATGGATTAGAGAAATCACGAACATTCAGTTAGAACTCAAGGTTGAATTTTTTTTGTTGGGAACAATAAAAGCTGAAATCGCAAAAGAAATAAAATATTTAATTTTACATATAATAACTGCAGCAAGGATAGCATTAGCTCAATGTTGGAAGGGAGATCAGATGCCAACGGATAACTTGATAATCCAGAAGATCTACGACTGCACGGAAATGGATAAACTTTCCTAAAAGTTAAACGATAAGGAAGACTCAAAATATTTTACAGTTTGGGAAAACTGGTATAATTGGATAAAGGATAGAAACCTGCGAGTAAACAGATAGGGAAGGGAAAATATAAAGATGTTATGATAGGAGTAGTTACCAGATATAGGAAGTAAGTATTGGAATTTTTTTTGATAAAAACACTTTCTAATCAATTAGAAATGTTTTTGTTTTTACATTTATTGGTTATGTATAACTTTTTGGTTTCGTATTTTATGAAATGTTTTGTATTACGTATATATATATTTTAATGTTTAATAAAGTTTATTTTTATTTTATTTTTTAAAAATAAGTAGGCTACTAACATAGAGAAGAGTGTTTGGATGCCTAACAAATGTGGCATTCCTCACTTAAGCTTAATCTCTAGGCAAGCATAGGAGTGTCCCAAGTGTTACTGCTCAACAGGAGCACAAAGACAACAAGAAGAACAAATTGCATTTTTTTTTAGCTAGTAGATAAACAGTGACAAGTGGGAGGAGATGCAGCAGGATCAGGCTCCCTGCAGGGGCCCAAGGCCTTGGTAGGGACCAGTAGTGGGATTCAAATTTTTTTACTAGTGGTTCTGTGGGTGTGGCTTGATAGGTGTGGTTAGGTGGGTGTGGTCATGTGACTGGGAGGGTGTGGCTTTGGTTTTTTTTTTTTTTTTGCTTTTTTGCAGCCACCCTCACTCATTTTTTGGGCCTTCAGGGCCTCAGGCAAGCCGCCTGGGGGGGCGTTTTTGCTCCCAGAAGGCTCCCCTGGAGCTCAGGAAGAAAAAAAATGGAGCTTGGAGGGGGCACGCAGCACCCCCCTGGCTCTGTTTTGAGGCCTTCCTGGCCTCAGATAAGGAAACCTCTGGGGGGCGTTTTAGCATCATATCCCCAGAATTAGCATACATCAGAAGTCAGACCTTCTACCCCGCCCCCTCTTCTGAATCATACCGTCCTTCATCGATGGAATCCACAATGATTTGTTTGAGGACAAAGATACAGAGCATGGCCACAAATATGTGATGGATTGTGCGGAAATGTTCCACCTCCAGCAACGTGCTGTAAAAGAGACAAATTGCCAGCAAGTAAGTAATAGATATTGGGAGAGAGGGGAAGTTGGAGATTGTTGGACAAGATTTGGGTCCCAAAGATTTTCATCTGGTCTTCTGTGCAAAAACTTGTAGTTTCACTCGTACAAGGGAAATAACATTCAAGTGGCTAGGGGGAAAATGTTCCATCTCTTATGATATATAGGTAGTCCTCAACATAGGACCGCAATTGAGCCCTTGGACCAAGCAGGAAACTCACTCCTGCTGAGACTACACACAGCCTTATTCTAATATGCTAGTAATAACTTTGTGCTAGCCAGCTAATCAACCTAATCCTTTCAAAAATACTTCTTTTTGTTTCCCATCTGCAGTATCTATTCTTTTTCTGGCACCCACCAAAGAGCCTCAGCATTGTGTGGCTATGGAGCATGCTCAGTCCTTATCGGGCTGTTTCCAACTCTTGCTCTTCATTAATGGAATATCAATTATTTTGTCCAAGGCCAACTTTGGAACCTGAGGCCTTAGAGATCTGGCTAGTTTACACATTGTCCCTCTGACTAAGTCTTGTTCATATCACGACCAGACATACTTACTCAAACAAGGACCGTTGAGGGACAAAGACTTTCTTCTTCAGTAGCTGACCCTTCTCTCTGCAAGATAAGATAACAAAGCAGGTAATATTTAATAGATCTCTCAAAACTCTTCTCACCTCAGAGAAGGGGGTAAAGGTAAAGAGTCCCTGAGGATTTTACTTCACAGTCATTGATGACTATAGGAGGAAATGCTGATCTCTGTCTCAAGTCCAATGAGCCAGCACTGTCTGATGACCATATTTTCCCCATCCCTGTTCTAAAATCAATTGCAAGGAACCTCTTCCACCTGCTTTGCTTCTTTGCTGGGACCACGCTCAGTTGCTGGGGTCTGGAATGAGCTGCTTCTTCCAAGGTTTTGTCTAAGAGATCATTCAGCTGATTGTGTACCTGGTCTAATACCTTCGCCTTCATTACCTACCAACAAAACAAAGGGAATTTAATGATGCCCAGGCCTATCATAAATAGATTCCTAGAATACATTTAGGTGATGGACACTGTCATGGAATTGCACCGATGATGTCCAAATGGAGTCAGAGATGCTGATAAGATCGTGCAGTTTTCTATAAATAAATATATTTACAGTAGGAACATTATGAGGTAAATTGCAGATAGCACACAGAGCCCACAGAGGAAAAAGGTGGGATACAAGGAAACCACCCCCCCTTTACTCTCACAGCAACTAATCACAACTTAGATTCCCTCGTGCAGTGGCTAGCTCTCCTCAACCAATTAGCTACATCTATGTGTTATCATTGTCTAGTTGCTTTGCTTCTTTGATCTGTGCTAGAAGCCTCCCTTGCCCAGAAAGCCTAGTAAACCTCTAGGACCTTGTTCACAGTTTTTGCAGCATAAATTCAGTGCCAGAAAAATAAACACAGATGGCTGATGCTTCATTTAACATCTTTATAAATATATTAAGTAAATTTTACAATACCAGTTGTAGATTTCTCCAACATGGAACAAACTCAAACAGAAGCAGACATGTTACAGGTTCAGAGCTTAACAGCAACTCAACTTCAGCAGACAAGCAAGGAAGTTAGTTTCATTTTCAATGGACAGACTCAGAGCTTAACATAGAGTCAGAGCTGCAGAGCTTAACATAGAATCATACCTAGGCTACTTGTTTCAGTTTCCAAACAGTTCTCATTGGCTGACTTAGTTGCTATGCCTATTCATTGGCTGACCTTGTTACCATGCTCTATTCCAGTTCATGAATATACTGTGACAGACTTAATCCTCTATGACAGGGGTCTCCAACCTTGGCAACTTTAAGACTTGTGGACTTCAACTCCCAGAGCTTTGCTGGCTGAGGAACTCTGGGAGTTGAAGTCCACAAGTCTTAAAATTGCCAAGGTTGGAGACCCCTGCCTATGACAAGAATAGAGACCATGTCACTGTAGAGCCATAGAATTGACCATTTTCATCATTCTCGATAACTGATCATTCAGGGAGAATATTTGTTTCTCTAGTACCAACTCCTTCCTTCTTTTATTATTACCTATTACAATATCTATTATTACCTCCAGGTGTCTCTTCCATTGGATGCGGGCAGTGATTTTCTCCAGGTGTTCAGCTTCTCCTATAGAGTTAGAAACAGCTTCATTTTAAAAGCATGATTTGACATTGGGTGAGTGGAGGAAGTCAGTTCATTGCTTGGATGAGACAGAAATCTTCCCATTGTACAGAGTTTTTTGTTCTAAATTACTACTCCAAATTTCAAGCATTTGTTTCTCCACTCTTCACATTCTCTTTCCTTTGGGGTGGATAAAGCAGGTCCAAAACTATTTCTATCAGGCTTCTGAAGTATTTTATATGGCATGTTTTTATTCAGTTTTGTAGCCTTTTTTAAAAAGCAGATTTCCACACCATAGTAACTGCTTTTAACTAGCAGATCTGGAAGTCTGTGTTTATCCTACAATTCTATTTTGCTTAATTATTAAGTAAAACAGCATAAAACTTTATCATATCATTCTAGTAGATTTGGAGGAAGGAATATTGTCAGTACCTGTGACAAATAGTAGAGTTTAGTACCAGTAGTCCTCAACTTACAACTGTTCATTTAGTGAAGTTAACAATGGGACTGAAAAAAATTACCTATGACCATTTTTCACACTTACGACCATTGCCACATTCCCATGGTCATAGGATTAAAATCTGGACATTTAACAACTGGCATGTATTTGACGGTTGCAGTGTACTGTGGTCATTAGATCCTCTTTTGTGACCCTCTGAGAAGCAAAGTCAACGGAGAAGCCAGATTCACTTAACAACTGTGTTAAGGTCTTGTGATGAAAATTTCCCAATGTTTTCTTTGTAACTAGTTAACTAAGATGTTCCTTGTTCCCTTCAACTAAATGCTTGCATTGTTTTGTCTTTGAAAGATGAACTTTAGCATTTCTAGACAAATATTAAAGGCACACCTGCTCTTCATGCATAACGCTTGATCTTTTTTGTCATAATTTTCTATATTATTTCTTACTGATGTGTGAATCAACAATTATCGGATGCTTGCCTCTCTGCCCCACTTCATAAGATTTTGTCAGGTCCAAAACCAAGAATGATATGCAGTACTTCTTCCCAGCTGAGTTCTTTATTATTTCAGACCTATAGACAGAATCTTGCCAAACCCTGGACTCTACTACCTGCATCTACAATACACTATTAGGGAGAGGCCTCTTTCTCCCACATATAATGTCTGGACTGAACTGTCTCCTTACCCCTTTGTGAATGCACCCCCTTCCCTCCTGGGGATCCAGCTCCTTACTACATTCCATCACATCTGGAAATGATTAAAGATTGCATCTGCCATCCTTTCTGTAGAACCCATTGTTACAACTTCCCTCTATTTCCCTCTTCCTTTAATGTACATTTGATCATCTCCTGTTCCAGAATCCCTCCCACCCCTACAATTACTTTGTGAATAGGGAGAATTCTCTGTATTAAGGAGAATACATAGAACATACACTATACCTTTAACTACAAGTTCTGCAGTGTTTTAGCAAATGTTCAGAATGGCAGGAGCTTCTTGGGGTTGAACTGCAAAGCATTTGGGGGCCACAATGTATCTTTCTAGTAAAGTAATATAAGGCTTTTTGCTGTGGCTCCCAAAATGCTAATCTCTGCATAGTACTACCTAATTCCAAGACCTAATTGAAAATCCTCAGATAATTTATCCACAGCAAGGCCATCCCCCACCCAACTGTGCAACAAAATATATCATCCATGCCCCTTAAATGCCTCCTTACCATTGAGTATTTGTGTTTCCTCTTCTCCCCTGGCCTGCTCCTGAGAACTTCTTTGCCTCATGCCTCCAGTGCTCATTTCCATTGGGTCCATGATGGTTCTGAAAGTAGAGTTTCTTAGGTTAGTTTCAGACTCTAGCCCAGCAGTCAGATAACTAATTCACCAGGGGAGGAAATAAAGCCTCTGCAGTTGGAACTGCACTTCCTTAATGCACCAATGAGGTAACTGGTATCAGGTAGTGACCTTCCTACCCTGATTAGCAAGTTTTACATTTTGAGCTGCACAGAAAAAAGTTGTAATGGAGCCAAATTTTAAGAGCTTCCATTATTCACACCATTTTATTTTCTGAATCAAATTAGCAAATATTTATTTCTTACAGATGAAACAATTCCATCTGAGAGTCAGTGCAAAGGAGCTATTTATTTCCCAGGCCCTACTATTTGAGGATATATCAAGGATAGATTTTATCGGCTGAAGTCAAACACTGTAATTCAACTGCATTTCCCCCAGTTGTTTAGTCACAAGGCCAGAAAGTCCTCTAGTAATAATATTGGGGAGAGAAGCAGGGTGGGCTGATGGGGGTTCGCAGAGGTTCGGGAGAGCCCCAGCTAAGATTCTGTGCAGTTCAGAGAACCCCCAAATCCCACTCCTGGCCTACCCCACCCCACCCAGGAGTCCCCAAATGGCCCATTTTGGATGCAAGTAAGTGCAGGGTGTGCACGGAGGCTCAGGGAGGGTGAAAAACGAGCCTCCTGGAAGTTTGGGAAGGCTGGAAATGGTCCCATTTCTGGCTTCCAGAGAGCTTCCGGAGACCGGGGAGGCTGTTTTTGCCCTCCTGGAGGCTCGAGGAAAGCTTCGAGAGCCCGGGGAGGGCAAAAATGCCCTCCCTCACCATGATGCAGGAAGCTGACTAGGCCACGTCCACACAGCTACTAGGCAGAGAACCCTTTGCTAAAATGTATGAAGCCCACCCCTGAACAGAGGTAGAACTCCAACAGCTGAAATATCAGGCAAAGTAAGAAAGCTACCTCAGTCAGTAGATGCTGTGCATAGCTGGGCTAAGATGTAATAGGAGATGCTGGCTATTCATTTGTACTGAGGAAAGACAGTTTTTTATAATAAATAAACACATAATTGCTTGGTGGGGCCACAAGTAATAGATAATAATAGCAATAACAATAGCACTCAGACTTCCATACCACTCCATAGAGCTTTACAGGCCTCTGTTACCAGTTTACAAAGTCAGCATATAACCCCCAACAATCTGGATCCTCTGTCAACTCATAAAATATTTCTGTGGTCTTTTAGAGTTGCCAACAGAAAGGGAAGGGGAAGTAGTGTAGCAGCTGCAAAAAGGAAACTACATTCCATGAATATTTCATGGATAGTTTCTAGGCGACTGAAGTTTCTGCCGTGCAAAATTCTAACTGGAGAGTATGATTGATGACTCTTGGCCATGGATGTGTCCCATTGGAGAATATGAATTATGATACACCCAGGGGGTGGGGGAAAACCAGGGTCAATGGTGACAATGAATGATGTGTCTCAGAGTCGGCTACACCCAGGCAGCACCAGCATGTCTTCCCCTAATAAATCTTCTTTGAGGTTTGAAAATCAGGCTAGAGACTCATGATTTAAGTGGGGGTCACTACCAGAGCCCTGACATTCTCATTTTACCACCTTGGAAGGATGGAAGGCTGAGTCAACCTTGAGCTGTTGAAGAATGAACTCCTGGCAGTGGGCAGAATTAGCCTGCAATATTGCATTCTAACCACCACTGCACCACCATGGCTAATAAGGAGTCAAAATGCCCTGTGAAAATACCATGAAGAGGATGGATGAAGATCATTATAAATATGTGGGAATCTTTCAAGCTAAAAACATCAAGCACAATGAAGTCAAGAAGAATGTTAAAACCAGTGGTGGGATTCACATTTTTTTACTACCGGTTCTGTGGGTGAGGCTTAGTGGGCGTGGCAGGGGAAGGATACTGTAAAATCTCCAGTCAGAGGTGGTATTTGCTGGTTCTCTGAACTACTCAAAATTTCTGCTACCGGTTCTCCAGAACTGGTCAGAACCTGCTGAATATCACCTCTGGTTAAAACTGAACACATCATGAGAGTGAAGATTTTAAAGTCCAAACTCAATAGAAGAAATACACCAAGCCAATTAATACCTGGACAATTCCAGTCATTAAATACAGAGTTGGACCATACATAGCTGTAACAGTGGACTGCACTCAAGCAGAACTAAGAGCCCTGAATAGGAAGACCAGACACAATAATAAAAATTGATTCATGCCCTT